GACCCCCAGGAGCACAGTCCAGCAACTGATAGGTCAGACATTGTGGCGGGGGGGGAGGGGGATTATGCCTGAAGGGCCAGCAGCAGCTGCTTTCAATCAAGTTGCATATGGCATGTGGAACTAGCCCCACCTTTGCACCACGGCCAAGCACAGCAAGGCAAGAGGGAGGGAGGGGGTAAACAATGGAAGTGGCAAATATGTCTGCTGCTTGCAGTTTCACATCCATGGGGGTAGATGTGATGGGCCCTCTCTTAAAGTTGCCTGTTGGGGGTGAGGACAAGATTTTTGACCATCAACACTTTTTTCCCCCCAATTCCTGTTACCAGCTACCACATCTTTAACCAGGCTTTAAACTAAGCCCACTGGGGGCTGCATGGACAACCGCCAAATAAGCCCACTAGGCAACCACTACAAAACCAGCAGGATAGGGCACCCAGCTATGACTGGGCCACAGATATAGACAGCTATACCCTGTACAGGAGAGATGGTGAGGATAAAAGTGGTGGGGTGTAGCCCTCTATGTCAAGGAAAGCTACACATCCCTGCAAGCTGACATTGGCACCCAGGGAGGATGACCGGAGACCCTCTGGGTTAAAATACACAGAAAACGTGGCACAGGGGACACAATGGTAAGAGTCTACTACAGACCTCCAAACCAGGAACAAGAGCTAGATCAGGTATTTGCCCAGGAACTGGCTGAGGCTGCATGCTCTTGGTGCATGGTTGTCATGAGAGACTTCAACTACCCCGACATCTCATGCGATGAGCACTCGGCCAAATCTGAACGGTCACAAAGCTTCTTCATGTGTGTGGACAAGCTCTACCTGACTCAAGAAGTCTATGGACCAACAAGAGGTAAAGCGCTGCTGGACCTGGTACTGGCTAAAGGGGATGATCTAGTCAGTGAACTAAGAATTAAAGGAAAACTGGGAGACAGTGACCACAAACTGATAACTTGTACTATCCATCGCAAAGCTGGCAAGTCGGTCAGCAAAGCAGAAGTCCTCAACTTTAGGAAAGCCAACTTTGATAAGCTCAGGAGGCTTGTTGTTGAGGCCCTAAGGGGCCATGACTCGACAGGGAAGGGAGTCCAAGAGGAGTGGCTGCTCCTTAAGGGAGCGATTCTGAAAGCACAAGCGATGTCCATCCCATATTGGAGGAAAGGTAGCCAAAGGGCACAGCAGCCCCCTTGGCTCAGCAGGGAATTCCTGGACCTCCTATGGCAAAAAAGAGAGGCTTATAAAGGATGGAAGACAGAAATCACCACAAAGGAGGAATATTCTGCACTGGCCCGTATCTGTAGGGAACGAGCCAGGAAAGCCAAGGCTGCAACTGAACTCCAACTGGCTACACATATCAAGGATAATAAAAAGTCCTTTTTCAAATATGTGGGGAGTTGGAAGAAAAGCAAGGGTAACATTGGACCACTGCTAAACCAATAGGGACAACTGACAGCTGACTCCCAGGAAAAAGCCAACCTGCTTAATGGGTACTTTGCATTGGTTTTTCATCAGCCCCAAGGGACCGCCCCCCCTAGCATGATGCAGGATGGCCAGGGGGAGGGGGAATTTATACCCAGCATCGGTGTAGACGTCATAAAGGAACACCTTGAGAGGCTGGACACGTTCAAGTCAGCTGGTCCTGACAGATTGCACCCCTGAGTACTTAAGGAGCTGGCAGGCGTCATAGCCCAGCCACTGGCAATGATAGTCAAAAACTCGTGGTGCTCAGGTGAAGTACCTGAAGATTGGAAGAAGGCTAATGTGGTGTCCATCTTGAAAAAAGGGAGGAAAGTATATCCGGGGAACTACAGGCCAATCAGCCTGACCTCAATCCCTGGAAAGATTCTAGAAAAATTATCAAAGAGACCGTTCTTGACAAGCTGGCTGATGGCAACATCCTGAGGGACAGCCAGCATAGGTTTGTTATGGGTAGGTCTTGCCTAACCAATCTCATCTCCTTCTATGATCAAGTGACATCTCACGTGGACAAGGGAAAAGAGATTGACATAATATATCTGGACTTCAAAAAAGCCTTTGATCTGGTGTCCCATGATCTCCTCTTGGAAAAATTGGCCAGCTGTGGCTTCAGCTACATCACTGTCCAGTAGCTCGGGAACTGGCTCCAAGGCCAGACCCAGAGAGTGGTAGTCGACAGAAATGAATCACTGTGGTGCTCCGTGACTAGTGGAGTCCCCCAAAGCCCCGTCCTTGGACCTGTGTTCTTCAACATCTTTATTAACGATGTGGACACTGGTGTCAGAAGTGGACTGGCCAAGTTCACCATTGACACTAAACTTTGGGGTAAAGCATCCACACCTGAGGATAGGCTGGTGATCCAGGCTGACCTGGATAGGCTTAGAAAGTGGGTGGATATAAACCTGATAACCTTCAATACAGAAAAATGCAGATACTCCTCCTTGGGGAAAAAAACCTGCAGCACACTTATAGGCTTGGCAGTGCTACACTTGCTAGCACCACGGCCGAAACAGACTTGTGGTTCATAATTGACCACAAGATGAACATGAGCCACCAATGCGATGTCACAGCTGGTAAAGCAAACAAAACTCTAGCTTGCACTCATAGATGCTTCTCAAGCAAATCTCAGGATGTCATCTTCCCGCTGTACTCAGCCCTGGTGGGCTCCACAATTTGAGAAACATGTGGAGAAGCTTGAGAGAGTCCAGAGGCAAGCCACATGCATTTCTAGAGGGCAAGAGAATAGGCATTACGATGAGAGGCTGAGACCCATGGGACTCTTCAACCTGGAAAAGTGCCGGCTCAGGGGTGACCTGGTGGCAGTCTGTAAGTACATAAGGGGTTTGCTTCAGGATCTGGGGGAATGCCTGTTCACCAGAGCGTCCCAAGGGAAGACAAGGCCCAACAGTCACAAATTCCTCCAAAACCGTTTTAGGCTGGACGTAAGGAAAAATTTCTTTACTGTTCGAGCCCCCAAGGCCTGGAATAGACTCTCTCCAGAGGTGGCTCAAGCTCCTACTCTGGACTCTTTTAAGAAACGTTTGGATGCTTATCTTGCTGGGATCCTTTGACCCTAGCTGACTTTCTGCCCCTGGGGCAGGGGGCTGGACCTGATGATCTTCTGAGGTCCCTTCCAGCCCTAACGTCTATGAAATCTGCTGGAATTTTGGAACATGCACCCGAAGCGCAGAAACCGACATGGACAGGATTTGAGCAAATGCCCAAGCACCGCTGCAGGAAGCAACAATCAAGGGAAGGCACGATGTAGACTTTGGTGGTGGCCTCTGAATCACATGGATGATTGGCAGGGCAAACTCTGCAAGGTGTTCCAAAAGATTGAAGACTGAAAGACTGCAGCTCACTGGGACATCAGGGCCAGCACAATAAAATTCCTTGACCTGGCTGATAAGTTCTGTCAGCATGCTGAGTGGAGCCAGTGGCATGAGGGAAAGTTTAGACAGAAGCTCCTTAAACAAATGACCCTGGCCCCGATTTGTGATCAGTCCCACTCTTCCAGGAGCTTCACAGAGGTCCCTATCCATGATCAGCCCCACACAGGAACAACCTCAGTGACAGGCACTATGCCTGTGAGTGAGGGGCGCTTGTCCTCTAGCCAGATGAGAGCGCCACAACCATTAGGAACCAAAGGGAGGGTGAGACAGACGGGGCACAGCAGGAGAAAAAGAGTCAATGACGAGTGATGGGATTTTAGCTGTTAGTAAGTACCACTACACTTTAGGGACGAAGGCAGGGGGGTGAGACAGAAGGTGCAAAGAGGGCGGGGGGGAAAGAGGCAATGATTGGTGATGGGTTTTTAGCTGTTAGTGCTTTGATAATGCTTCTGTTGCAAATCAGGGGAGTGGGCATTGTGTTCCTTTATTTTTTTCTGTTCTGCTTTGGTTTACTGACAATAAAATAAATGCTTAGGTGAAATTAAAAGGATTTTTTGTTCATGTGTGTCTGCTGACATGAGAAGGGTTGTAGAGGAGTGGCCCACCTGCACTTCCCCTGGCTCCAGGTTGCCCCCCCCTCCCCCCCCACCCCTACAGCATGCAGAGAGGTGGGATAGAAACAGTTCAAAATGATATTGAGCAGCCAGCCTGTGTCCCCAGAGTTGGGAAGGCTCTATCACATGCCAAGGAAGGTGTTGATGCTGGTGGCAATGTTCTCCTCAGCAATGTGGGGCAGAGATGTGCAGCGCTGCAAAAGGTATCCCCTGATGCAGAGCATCTTATCTCCGCAATGTTGCAAACTTGCACAAAAGGCTTCTGTCCCTTGCCTGTGAAGGACCAACATCTGGATGTGGTGGAGATGCTGGGGCTTTCAAGGCCTGAGATTTTATTATTGTGACCTGAGTCCAGCATCAAGCTGAACAGAGTCCAGCATCAAGCTAACCAGTAGTCAGCAAACAACTTCCCCCGCAACCTTCCATAAGCTAGCAACCCCTACCCCATCCACAGTCCCCCCTCTTAAAAACAGAAAGTATGAAATAAAAAATCCAACAAAGCAAACAGAAACCTTTATCTACACCCAACAATAATAAAAAAGGGAAACAAATAATAGAACAACTCCTTTAAGATAGTGATTTCTAATCAGTATGAATTACTCTGAATTCTTATAACGGTGCATGAAGTGTTAAAAAACACAATGGCATTACTATAACGGCTCACTTAGTACAACAGCACAGGAATAGTGAAAAAAAAATCAATAATCAATTTTAACTAAAAGAACCTGGCCCTAAGGTCGACTTTCATTCAGAGCTTGACAGAGAACTATAGGATCGCAGAGCACAGATTCGTGCTTGCCACTGGTGCTCCTTGGCAGGGGCAGGAGCAGGGGCAGCACTGGGGCCAATGACCACCAGGCATAGAATCATTACCAGTACAACCATCAGTATTTGCCAGTCCTGCTGGGTCTTAGAATGCCTCCTGGACTAAGCGCGGCTCCTTTTACACTGGACGGCCATGATGCTTCCTGTAGCACGATGGACCCGTCTGACCAGTTCACACAGCTACTGCTCACATTCCCTGAGGGCAACCACCAGCCTGTCGGTTCATGCATCGGTTGCATCCTGCCTTGGCTGTCTATGTGCCCTGGGTTGCAGTGTTGGAATCGGAGCTGAAAATCAAGAAACGTGTGAAACAGAGTGAATTAAGGATGCTTGCTGCTCTAAAGATGCATCCAGCAAATCTTGCGACCAGAAAAGAAATGGTCAGACCAAAACACCTGAGGAGGGGTACCTGACCACAGGGGGTAGCAGGCCCTGAGTGGCTGTAAACAGGTGCGATCCCACTGCGAGCAAGTCCCCCTCCCCCACTTCACCTCACAGCCCAACCTAATTATAGCTGTCAGTTTAGATGAGAGGTGCTTCACATGCCAGATGTGGATTTTGAGCTCCTTAGTCTATCCTCCTCCTCAGAACTGGCAGATGACATGACCAGGGCATTTCTGCTATCTTCTCCACTGGAGTTCCTAGATCCCCTGCAACTCACAGCAGTGGTTGGCAAAATGTCCACAAGCAAGGACGCCCTGGAGCCTCTGTCCCTTGGTGTTCACACCAACCCAGTACCTCCATTAGTGGCTGGAGGTACCTGTAGTGGGCCATGTCACGCAGTGGGGTGCCCTGTCGCTGTGCTCTAATAACATCCCTGAAGAAGGGATTTTTTGCCTTGACCTGGCACTGGAGTGGGGCCCTGCTGTACCCCTGCTCTGCCATTCTCCCTGCAACATCAAGGTAGATGTGCCAGTTGGCTCACAGGCTGCAAACTGGCGCACGACCTATGGGTCCACCAGCACCTGCATCAGGCTCTTTGTTTTGGTGAAGGTCTAGTTAGACCTAGACCTATAAGCCCTTAGAAGGATTCTTCAGAAATAAGAAAGACTCAGGAATGTGTAATAGTTCTATATCTACTTTTGTACTAATCAATTTGTCAAAAATATGACAAAACTGGAAACTTGGCAGGTTATTGAGGCCATCTCTAATATGGGGGCCAACGGCCACAAAGGAAAACAGGAATACCGATTTCTTGCCTCTGAAGAAGTTGGTTAGGAAACAGCCTGAGAGAAAGAAAACATGCAATGCATTTTCCTTAGCAAAGGGAGGATTGATCTTTTCCTTGCATGCAGAAATGCAGATTCCAATATAACCCTAGGAAAAGTGACCCATTTCTCATTCCCCCCAAAACTGTCATGTTATGACATAGGGAGCACTTATTATAGTCTACTCAAATTCTGAATGTACAAATTACCTTACACAGACCACATTTGCCAGTCAGCTACGAGAACTTGGGGAGACTATAACCTCCAGTTTAAACTGTGAACATTTGTAGTCCTTGCCTTTTCCTCTTTGATCATTTAAAATATCACTGCTTTGTTGTTAATTTAAAGGTTCTGTTGATCACTAGGTTTCCAAGCCTAGAGCATTCAAGACTGAATGCATTTTTGACACTGATGCCAAATAACATGCCTGTAAAAACCTTCCAACTAGGCTGAGAAAACTATTTTTTCTGCCTCTCCAGTCTGAGCACCCTTTTAGTAGGTTTTGAGTTGAACTCCTACCAAACTAAGCATTCTTACATCCTTGTATACAGAGGGGAATTAACCAGAATCTACAGTTTGAAATAACTAAGCACATGCAAAACAGAGTACCGCAAGGGATTCTCAGTCCCTAAAGTGCAAGTGTGTTCAGATGACACCTCTGTAAAAGAACTATAGCAAATCTAACCAAATATTTTTCTCTTTACACTCTGCATCTCTCCCCTTCCAAAAAACCTGTACATTATTAAAAGGCAACATTAGGGGTTAGCCCCAAAGCCACATAAAACAATATATTCAGAAATAAGGTAATTTTCTCTATTATATAAACATGATCAATGAACCCACATAAATGTGAACAACAAAAAAACTGAAGTTTGTTCCTTTCCCACTGTTTTATTAATGGACTAAGATGGCACCCGCACTTCAAAAAATAGTACTTACATTCCGTCTAATGAAAATGTGAGAAGTCTCAGATCTCAACTTCTTTCACTGAAATGTAAACCAAGGATAGACTTTGGTAGATCTGGATGGTAATATCATAAGTAACTGAAGCCCAAATTATAGCTGTCTCCAACTTTAGGGGTGTCTTTTTTCTGGAAATGTTTGTTTTAAAGGTTAATTGCAGAGGAGAAACAAACCATATGCACAGCAGCCTTCAGATGGGATCCCAACTGGGTCAGCTAAAGATGACTTTGGAAGCTTGAACTCTGAATATAATTTTTGTGTAAGGCAAGTATTTCTTAGGGTGATATTTTTTACTGGACTAACTATGTAGTTGAGATAAAGTTAGACTAGCTTTTGAATCTGAGGAAGAATGTCTTATTAGTTTAACTTTATCTCAACTACATAGTTGGTCCAATAAAAAATATCACCCTAAGACATCCTTGCCTCCTGCATAATTTCTGGACCACCACAGCTTCAGCATCAGTCTTATACTAACATAACAAGGAAGATAATCTCTGTGCAGTCCCACCGTTTCATAAGTACACAATGAATAAACATGCAAACTGCATAAGAAACACCCACTTCTATGATGTAGACAACTAGCACATCAAGTAATTTATTCTTATGCCTGTGGTGGAACGCTTTCAGAACATTCTCGGGTAGAATGGTTTTTAGTTTGGTTGGCTAAACAGCAGCACAGCATATTCAAGAACATGGAAGGGACGCTTAACAGACACTGTACTCTGTGTTTCAATGCCACAGTACTTTTGTTTGTCTAAGCAATTGCTATTGGTAACCACAGTCTTTGAGACTATGTACAATGCTTCGAGTTTCTATAAAAAGCAGTAGTTCTTGCAAGGCAAGGACTTTAATACATCAAGACCTTTTTTTTCTTCTCAGCTAATCTTGATGAAAATGGCTTTGCTCTTGATAAAACAGAAAGCAGATTAAGATTATTTGATATTAAATACTAAGATACTTTCAAATTGTATGTACCAACATGGTATGATGGGAGGCACCACGGTCAGTCAAAGGAGGTCATTTGTCACTAGTAAGCAACCCCTTCAAGCCAATGCTTGCAAGGAGCTGATATTTTCTAGAAGAGACTTTACAGGGAGAGAAGCAGCATTACCTGATCACCAGGGATCTGGGTTTCCTGTTTCCCAAGGAAAAACGGAGTTAACCACGAATTTCCCAGTTTAATTGGAAAAAAATGCAGGTTTTCCCTTTTAGCAGGGAAACCTGCGGATTTCTCCCTTTTGCAAAGAGCTCTGCAGGCTGGCTGAGTTCCAGCCTGCAAGAGCTGTTTGCAAAAGGGGTGGAAAAGCCCCAGCCCTGCCCGGAGGGGGCGGGCAAAAGTGCGGGACCCAACGCTCTCACTTACAGGAGGCTGCCTCAGGATCAGGCTTCTTCATTCCTGGAAGTAAGTGGGGCTTGGCAGTTGCAGGGTAGGGCTAGGGCTAGAGGAGAAGCTGACTGGGGGCTGAGGGAGTGAGGATGTGTTGGGGGAAGATATGGAGTGCCTTCCCCAACACATTCCCCTCCTTCAGCCCGGGCAGGCGGGTAGGCAGGCGAAGAGGGGGGGACAGAGCACACCCCAGGGTGCAGTGGTGAAGGGTCAAGGGGCACTGCCAGCCCCCCACCTCAGCTCATTCTGCGCCTTCTCCCAGGAACAGGGCCGGGGGGGCAAGGGCAGCAGTGCCCCTCTGAGGGCTACACATGCACTGGCCGGGGGTGCGAGGGAGCTTGCACGCGGCAGCTGCCACCACCACTGCACCACTGCCACTACACTTCATGCTGCTTGACTGCAGTTGGCGGTGGGAAAGCCACACAGGACGCAGGGTGCGGTGGCGACCGCTGTGTGCGAACCCCACCCCCCGGCCAAGCAGGCATGGAGGCCCGCAGACGGACACTGTTGCCCTCCACCCTGCTCTAGGCAAGCAGCACAGGGCATGGCAGTGGCGGTGCAGTGGTGCTGGTGGCTGCTGCCGCATGTGAACGGAGATGCAGTGTGGGGGCAGCAGCTGGCGGGGGTGTGGTGGCAGCCGCCTGCAGCAGCAGCAGCAGGGACAGTGCAGTAGCAGCCACTGCATGCCAGAACTACTGCACCACCACCGCTGTGCCCCGCACCACTTACCCGGAGCAGGGCCAGGGGGGCGAGAGCAGCGGTGCCCCTCTGCAAGCTGCACATGCCTGCCTGGCCAGGGGGGGAGTGAGGGGGATTGCATGCAGCGGCTGCCATCCACCACCATGTCCTGTGCAGCTTTCCCGCCACCGGCCATGGGCAAGCAGCGCAAGGTACAGTGGCAGTGATGCAGTAGTGGTGATGGTGGCTGCTGAGTGCATCCCTTCTTCCCCTCCAGCCGGGCAGTACATGTGAGGCCCGCAGAAGGGCACCACTGCCCTTGCCCCCTCCAGCCCTGATCCTGGGAGTGGGCCGAGGTGGGGGGTGGGGAAGCACCGTGGTGTGTCATGTGTGGCCAGCAGTGCCCCTTGCCCCTCCGCTGCCATGCCCTGGGTCACACTCTGTTCCCCACCCCCCTGCCTGTTCGCCTGCCCAGGGGAAAGCCCCACTAGGAGTTTCCACTGGCCGGCAGGCACTCCGTGTCTTCCCCCAGCACATCCTCGCTCCATCAGCCCCCAGCCAGCTTCCCCCACAGTGCCAGGAGCAGGCACAAAGATACACTCCTTCTCCCCCATTCTCCATCTGCCCCCCAACCCCTTCTTTTCCCCCCATCCCTCCACACACACCTACTTGCTGGGGGTTGTATGTATGTCTGTGTGTGTGTTTGTCTATGCCTCTGCCTGCATGTGTGGGGCTAGGGGGCTGTTGTGGGAGGACTAAGGGGTACGAGCAGGACTGGGGAGGCTGGAGGGAGGAGTGAGGAGCACTAGCAGGGCCGTGGGGGCGCCATGGGGGGCCTTTAATTTTTATCATGGATTTGAGGGTTTTATCAGAGAATTTGCAATATTTTATCAGGGAATTTGTGATTTTTTTTATCAGGGAAAACCAGGATCCCTGGTGATCACAAGGGATTTCAAGGAGAATCCTAGAACTTCCACCCCTCCTGCTACAGCACAGAACTTTAAAAAAACCACTACATCTAGTCAACCATGCCACCAAAGAGTTTTACTTT